GTTGTGGGTGCGCTGCCACCTGCCAGCCTGGCATTGTGGTGAAGGGCTGTCCCCAAGTCGCCACCCGAAAGAGGAGGAGGAGGAACAGGAGGCAAGAGAGGGCCAGGAGCAGGGAGAGGAGATGGAAGAGGAGCAGGAGCATGGGCAGGAGCAGGACGCACATGCTCCTCCTCTCCTGAGCATGTGCAGAGCGCCCTTACGGCGCCGCCACCTGCCAGCCTGGCATGGTGGTGAAGGGCTGTCCTCAAGTCGCCACCCGAAAGAGGAGGAGGAGGAACAGGAGGCAAGAGAGGGCCAGGAGCAGGGAGAGGAGATGGAAGAGGAGCAGGAGCATGGGCAGGAGCAGGACGCACATGCTCCTCCTCTCCTGAGCATGTGCAGAGCGCCCTTACCTACCAGAGATGGAGATGTTGGAAAAAGGGCCCCCGGTGCCCACAGATCGGGCAGGTCGTCATCAGCAGGAGGACCGGAGGCTGGCTTTCCAGGAGGCCGTTCCTCTGGTGGAGCCGGTGGACCAATGGGCGTGGCGATGGCTCATCGTGACCGAGGGTGGCACCGATGGTCACCCAGGTGCCAGTTACCACGGTCGCCGAAAGGGCCACGGCACACGGCCCCAGCCCAGCCATGGCGGCGAACAGTAGGAGTGTCCTGGCCAAGGCAAGGGACGCTTCCAGTGAGCGCAGGATCCGCCGGTGGTCCCTGCGGGGTCCTGCTGGCAGCAAGCAGGGCAATGGTGTGAGGGGCAGCACCACCTCCCAGGCTGAGATGGGCAGTCCCCAGGTCGCCATTAGGAAAGGTTAGGGGGACCAAAAGCAGGACCAGGAGCGGGATGAGGAGAAGGACAAGGGGAAGGAACAGGAAAAGGGTCAGGATCAAGGCAAGGATGATCAGGAAGAGGATAAAGAGCAGGAGAAACGAGAAAAAGCAGCCAGGAGTGAATTGGGGTGGGTGACCAAGAGAGGCAGGTGAAACATATAAGGAAATTCATGGATATTCTTGAAGTATTTATTCATTGAACATGCTCTGGATTCACTTTAATCACAGTGTTACACATTCAGATTGTTTAATTCTTTTGACTTTCACTTCTTTCAGTTCTCTCGTATATTAAATTTCCAAGTGTTCTCTTTTAAGTCCTATCTTCCCTGTCTATCTATCCTTCTGTATATCTCTGTTCTTCTTCTCTTTAACTCTTCCCCTGTCGTAACTTTTCCTAACTGTCCACCCTAACTCATTCTGGCCTTACGTGGCCTGGGCCTGGAGGAGGGTCACGGAAGGGGGGGGGTGCTCCAGGCACTCAAGGGCTCTGCCCAGGTCGGCATCAGTAGGAGAAGGAGGAGGCAAAAGTGGTACCAGGAGCAGGGAGAGGAGGATCAGGGGCAGGAAGAGGATCAGGGACAAGAACAGAAAGAGGAGGAAGGGAAAGCACAGGAAAACAAACCAAAAGCAGGAGAGCAGAGAGAAAAACCAGCCAGGAGCTAAGGGGGGTGGGTGAAAATTTCGTGGAATTTTGTGACTGATTGGTTTGAAACCTTTAAACATGCTGTGGACATTTTACTGAAAAGGGAGGAAAACTGCTTGTGTTTTGTCCCATCCTTAAAAGTTCCCATGGGGGGGGGAGAGCTGGGAACCCATCCCTCTGGAGGGCTGCTGCTCCCACCACCACCTCTTGTACCTCCGACTCTCTCCTCGCTTTAGAAACAGTCCCCAGAAGAAGCTGTGGCCGCAGCCAGGCTGAGCACGCCCCCCCCCGTGGCCAAGGGGGGGTCTTGGGGGTGTCCTTTGGTACTCCTCCCCTGGCAAGA